TTTTATGTCATGCTACTTTTGTTCAAGTGCTTGTATTTTTAAAAAAATTAGCCTAGAGGACCCCATTGGAACAATGAGAGCATTTAATATGGACTATATAATAGAAAACTGTATTGTATCATGTTAAATTTTCTGAATCTGACAGCTGTGTTGTGGTTATTGAAGAGAATGCCATTAGTCTTAGGAGATACATGTAAATACAGAGAAAAGGTCATGGTATCCACTACTTTCAATCTGTTCAGGAACAAAGAAATATATACTAGATATATATGGAAATAGAGTGACTAGAAAAATGTGCAAAATGTTGACAATTTGTAAATTTAGGTGCAGCGTATGTGGGCGTTCATTGTATTCTTGCAACTCTTCTATAAATTGGATTTTTTTTCAAAGTCATTTAAAAATGAGTTTTCTTTGTTTGTTTTTTAACCTTCTATTAGGCCAGTTTTTCTTTGAAAGCTTTAGGTGTACATTTACAAAGTTAACCGTGACTTTCATTATTGGTAGTCTCAGTGGCTGAATGGAGCCGATTCCCACAGCTAACTAGGCCCTTTCACTCTTGTCACAAATTATCAGTGTCTTTAGTGCTGGCATAATCGTCTATTGGATGTGAAACCATTTGGGGGATATGACACTCACTCTTCACTTTGTGGCCCGGAAGGGCCTAATGATAAGTGATCACGATGAAGGAGGATAATGTATACGGGCAAGTTCTAGTCAATAAGAAGACATGTTTTGGTCATTATTATTTAGTTGAAAATCTCAGCCACGTGCAGATAACTAGTCTCACAGATAATTTTTCCACCAATTTTCCACCAAATTTCATTCAAATGAAAAATTGCATTTCTTCTGCTTTCAGGGATCACATGAACATTTTTTAAACCAGAAGAGGAAGAGCAGATGTCTCACTGTTCATTTCAGTTGGAGGCATCTGATGTTCATAATCAACATTTTCAAATTCAAAGCTGCCATCTTGTGGTAATGTTCTATTCAGTTTTTAACAGATATATTGACAAGAGTCTGATTAAATCTGAAGACTAGAAGGAAAGTACATTGCAGAAATACATTTTAGGACATGTCAGAAACCTGTATTTTGAAGCCTACATACAAAGATGACAAGAGTGTATTTCCATGTGTAACATATTTAGTCTATTTGATTAATAACAGTCTCACTCATTTTGCTAACAGTTTCTATTGGAAAGGTATGACAGATTTTTTTTTTAAAGATTTTATTGATTTATTTAAGAGAGATGAGAGATGAGAGCACGAGAGGGAAGAGGGTCAGAGGGAGAAGCAGACTCCCTGCTGAGCAGGGAGCCCGATGCGGGACTCGATCCCGGGACTCCAGGATCATGACCTGAGCCGAAGGCAGTCGCTTAACCAACTGAGCCACCCAGGCGCCCGGTATGACAGATTTTATTCATTGTCCTTTCTTTCCCTCTCCCCAAAGTTAAAGGTCTAAAGTTTCCTATTCATAGAGGAAAAAATTAGGAATAAACTTCTGCTCAGTGATATACATTTTGAAATTAATCATTCTTTACTGAGATTTCCAGAAGACTCACTCTCTTCTTTAAAATTTCCTTTCAAATAGTCAAGATTCATGAAGAACCACAAAGGTCCTCTGCTGCCCCAATCCTCCCCCACACAAATCATACTTCCTGGAAATAATCATTTTCATCTCTTCAAGTTGCTTCTTCTGATTTTGCCTCCACATTTCTAAATAGTATATTTAAAATTCTATTTCTTATCTTTAAAAAAAATAGAGGTAGCATGTTTTCATATTCTACTGTGGATAATGAGGCCTCGGCTTTTATCTTAGCCCTGTTTGGTTAACTCTTCCAGCAGTGTTTTGTCCCCTAGTTCAGCTTAACTTCACTTCTTTCAGTCACCTGTCTAAATTAAATAGCTTCCCCTGGATTTTTTTTTTTTTTTCTTATGGAAAACACACTCTGTGCTTCTTTCATACTGCTGTAATTATTGTCTTGATTTTTTGCTTGTTTATTTGTTGTGGCAATACTCCAAGTTACCACAATCCCAAATTTATTCTCTCTTATTCCTTACTATTAGGATTCTGACTTTATTTAGGATAGTAACCAACTAACAAACAAAGAAAAAAAAAAGACCCTCAATCTTCTACACTCCCTCTCTATGTAATAAACTTCTAATGAGATACAGGCAGAATTCTTGGATGGATATCCATTTCTGAACAAAAGGAAAACTTCTGTGTGAGATAGATATAAGGTCTGACAATGGAGTAGCCATTTTGCGGCCCTGACAGTGTAAATAAAAGGATGAAGACCACACACTAAAGGTAGTAGAAGAAAATTAGAAAGAGCTTGAGTCCTTGAAAGTAGCATTGTGCTTGGACTCTCTACCTTTTTAAACTGATTTTTTGAGGCTATAATGTATTCCTAATAAAGTACATTGTTTTTTGTTGTTCTTTCCCACTTAGGTACTAAGTTCTAGGAAGCCAGGAACACTGTGAAACTTGTTTATCCTTGTAGCTCTGGATCACATTTTCTTAACCTCAGCACTACTAACATCTTGGGCTGATTAATTTTTCAATGTGGAGGCAATTTTGAATATTGTGGGATGTTTAGCAGCACCCCAATAGAGGCCAGTAGCTATCCCACACCAAAATGACTCCCAGGTGTAAATTGCCCTCCAATTGGGAACCCCTACTTTTGATGATGGGTTCAATACTCAGGATTAACAAACTTGTTAACTAATTAGATGTGAGTGAGGATTGAGAGGGATGGTAGAATTTAAGAGTGACTTTCAAGGTTCTCTCTTGGGCCGGTAACTGTAGCATTGTATCACGTGAAAGATGAGGAAGCACCTTCTAGTTTGTCAACGTTTCCCTTAAACTGTGGTTTTAAAGTGGAATAGATACTCCAGATGTGACTCTTAACACCATGGATTTCTGTTTCTGTATTAACGAAGCACAGCATATCTTCATTTGCACACTACTTTTCCTCACTTTTCAGTAGCATAGCATTTCCCCCCTTTATTAGTTGCATTGCACTATTGGCTTACACTGAACTTGAAATCTACTAAAATCTCCTGGTTATTTTGTAAAGAGTCCTGCTAGTTCCTGTCTTCCTTCATCCTTTAATTTTGCACTTGTGCTTTTGAGGTGCCAGATTTTGCATTTTTCCTTTTTACATTTTATTTCTTTTATATCAGGCTCTGTTCTTGGTTTGCTAATAGATTTTAAATTTTTTTTGTTCTTTTTCTATTTCATATTAGCTATCTCTGCCCAACATGATGTTCCATTGGTTGGTTGGTTAATAAAAATTTTGCCTAGGCAAAGGACAAAATACATAACATTGATGTATAGTCGTGGGCTAAGCTCAGAACAAAGGTCTTATGACCGAATCTTGGAACAGATATTTTAACAGTCAAAATCTTTTCCCCTGCATCCAGTTTTAAAGTGAACACTGTCTCTGAAGTCTGCTTCTAGGAATGAAGATAGTATATACCTTCAGAGGGGCATAAAAGTAATAGCTTTTCATTTTTGATTATATAAGAAGATCCAGTCAGGCTTCTTACTCTGTTTAGATTATAATGCTTAGCTTAGTTTGTGGCACTGGCAAATAATGGGTGCTGATGCAACAGGGCAAAATCTATTTAAGTGGTGTGGAATGGGCTTTCTAGGGAGTGCATAATAACTTCATTGACTATGTTTTATAAGAGAACTGAAGGACTGAGAACAATAGAAAATATCCAAGATTGCAAACGACTATTATTTGAAGAGAATGATATGACATATTACAGAAGACTAATGGTCACCTGATCAAGATAACACATAAGATCATATATGACATATTGCAGAAGAGTAATGGTCACCTGATCAAGATAAGTCATAAGATCAGACAGTGCTGTAAAATAAATCGAAGTCTTTGAATGGAAGAAAAATAAAGCAACATATTTAGGGAGAAATAATCAAAGCTACAGTTACAATATAGTGGGTGTAGCTTTCTCTTACAATTAGTTTCTAAAAACTATTTATTTATATTTTATTTTAAAGATTTTATTTATTTATTTATTTTGACAGAGAGAGAAAGAGAGAGCACAAGCAGGGGGAGAGGGAGAAGCAGACTCCCCACTGAGCGGGGAGCCCAATGCGGGGCTCTATCCCAGGACCCTGGGATCATGACCTGAGCTGAAGGCAGGCACTTAACTGACTGAGCCACCCAGGCGCCCTGTTTGTTTGTTTTTGTTTTTGTTTTTAGAATTAATGTTTATGTTTAATGATAGGCCCTCCTCCTCTTTCCCATGAACTATTTTGATATTAACTAGTCTCTTCGCTTCTACTTTAACCATTCCAAATTATTCTTAATAGACGTTATTTACAAACATCACCACCATCACTATCTTTGTAAAACATCCTTTATTTGTCACTCTTCCCTGCTCCCTCTTGCCTGTAGAATGAATTCCAAATTTTTTAGGACTTCATAAACAACACGGATTTTATTCCCAATTTATCTTTCTGCTCTCCCCATGAAAACTATACTCTAACCACTCTGACCTACTTTTATATTTTTGAATGTTCCATGCTCATCCAAACTTCTGTCACTTTGCTCCTGCTGTGATTTCTGCATGGAGTACCCTTCTCTACTCCTGTATTTGGTAAATCCATTAGCTTTCCTTGAAGCCCACATCAAATGTGACCTTCTCAATTTTATATTCCTTACTTTCCCCTCCCCAAATCCACAGTACCTAGAACTATGTCTGAAATCCAGGATAAGCCTAATAAATGTTTATGAAATGAGTATTTAAAAAATCTCTGGGGTCGCCTGTTTGGCTCAATCCTTAAGTGTCTGCCTTCAGCTCAGGTCATGATCCCAGAGTCCTGGGATCGAGCCCCACATTGGGCTCCCTGCTCAGCAGAAAGCCTGCTTCCCCCTCTCTCACTCCCCCTGCTTGTGTTCCCTCTCTTGATGTGTCTCTCTCTGTCAAATAAATAAATAAAATCTTTAAAAAAAATCTCTAAAAATATGATCTGGTAGACTTGGTTTTATTGATGTTTATATGAAAAGAAACCTTACATTATACAGTAAGTTATCTGAAAAGCTATGAGTATATATTTTAATAAATCAAATGTATTCAGAAAACCAATTCAGTAATGCTATTTGAAAATTTAAAAGATACTGTTAGTACATGCATTCTCTTTCACTATCACATTTTGTCTATTTATCTTGTGTACATAGCCTTAAGATTGCTTAGTATAGGGAAAACCAGTAACCAATTGTTTGTACATCACCTTTTTTTAAGTTTTTAAAAAATATTTTATTTATTTATTTGACAGCAAACGAGAGAGCACAAGCAAGGGGAGCGGCAGACAGAGGGAGAAGCAGGCTCCCCACTGAGCAGAGAGGCCAATGCAGGACTCGATCCCAGGACTCTAGGATCATGACCTGAGCTAAAGGCAGACGCTTAACTGACTGAGCCACCCAGGCACCCCTGTGTGTATATAACGTTAATCTTATTTCTTTTTCTTGAGTTGGGAATATCAGACTTCCCATTTTCTGTAGTGTATGATTACTATTGTTAGTATTTCTTTTTGCTGATTTTATTGAAAATGTTTGTTCACAGTGACCAGCCTTTAAAATTCTTCTTTGGGAATATTGTTTCAGTAGCCCAAGATCAAAAATAGTAAAAATATTTTATGTTAGAAGATAGAAAGAAGAAAAGAATTAATGACAGTCTTGCATGAGTGCATAGAAAAGGGGGCTGAGGAAATAATATTTTTAATATTTTATTTTGAAAACATACAAAAGGCTGGTAAGTGATAAGAGAATGCTATTTGGAGTTAACACAATGAACTGAATGGTAACTGTAGAACACCATATCGTGTGTTCTCCACCTTTGTGGCTGGCTTGTGGACCTCTAAGATACCGGAAGATGAACTGTAAGGTGAAATGTATAAATGGGTAGTTCCTTTTTCAGTGAATTGAGAGGTAGAACATAGTAGCAATCAGACACAGTATCAATTTTTCACTTTTAAACAAAGTGAAGTTTTTATCACTTCAAAATGTGACAATGATTATGATTTTGTTGTGACTTTGACCTTACACTAAAATGTATGCCGATGCCCAGGGGGAATTCTAGTTTGAAAAAGTTAATTGGGATCCCATTTGTAGCTCCACATAATTGATTTTAATTAATAAATGTGGCTTCCTATATATCTGTTGTTCATTGTCAATGAACGGAAAGGTATTTACATTTTAACATTGTAGAAATTCCTACTCCTGTATTTTAATTGGAGATTTACTATCATGATTTTTCTTTATACACAAAGCACAATAGCTTATTTACATTGTCATATAGTTGACTTTTAAAACGTGCCCAAAATCTTCACACTCTCTGCTTAAATACCATGGAGTTGGTGCAACCTATCATTATTTTTTTTTTAATCTCTACCTTCACACCCATTTTCAGAAATACTACCAGTTATTAAATGTTGGGGTCTTCTCTAGGATAACTAGGCTGCTTCTCAGCTTTTCTTATCATGTGTTCAAGAAGCCACTTTCTCAGATTCAGGGTTAGGGTTAGGGTATGTGCTTGATATTTTGCCATTCAGGGACCTCTCCAGAGGGTTAGGGTTAGGGTTAAGGTTACTGTTAGGGTTAGAGTTAGGATTAGGGTTAGGTTTAGGGTTATGGGTTAGGGTATGTGCCCACAACCTACCATTTTATTTTTTTATTTTTAATGTTTCAAGTTTTTATTTAAATTTTGGTTAGTTAACATACAACCTACCATTTTAAATAGAGTTGAAACACAGAACCCATTAAAAAAGGTTTTGACTCTTCCTAGTTTTGAAAAACAATCCTTAGAGCTCTAATTCTAATGTGCACGCATAAGGAAGAAAGTAACAGAGGGAAAGTAAATGAAGGAAGAAATTTAACCTATTATTTTTCAACCAGGTGTTTTTGTGATACAATTCATAAGAGAATTGGTCATTTGTCATTAGACCATAGACTGATTAGGATTCTCCATTTTTTCATAGTCTTCAACATAGTGTTGATATTGATCCGTGAGAAGAGGCTGATTTGCTTCATCCATGTTGTTTCTGGCCCTAATCAGGCAAGAAGCACCCCCGAAAATGACTGCAACCAGTAATAAAGCAGCAACTACTGCTATGGTAACAATCTCAGAAATACTAAAATTCCGACCTATTGGAAAAATAAAAGGGAAACAAAGAATAAACAGTAAAATAGTGGCCACTGAAAATCAGATACCCTAAACTTAGGCACTGTTGCAGGCATTTTACCAAATTCTTCATATATAATTTTTACTGGTCACATTGCTGATGATAGCACCTGTCATCTTGAAGGCACTTCCCAATTTCTCATAATAAGTGGACCCTATTGGGATAGTTATTGTTAATTCCATTCTAAAGTTTAAGAAAATGGTGCTGTAGGGTTTGAGCCACTTGGGTCACTTGGTTAGTAGGCACTAGAGTTGGTTTGGGGCACAAGTCTTTCAGAATCCATGTGCTGTGCGCTCTTCCACCCTACTGCCTTTGTTGAGAAGGGACTGGAAATTAAATAAGAAACTTTTCAATTTCAAAATCTCAGAAAAAGCAATGAGGAGTATCTCACTCCATTTTTTTTCATAATAAAGATAATGAGGCACAATTATGTAGTAGAAAAATTGGGGCATATTACATAGGCCTAAGCTCAAAGTTCATTCTCCCTGCCTACTAAAAATGTGATCTTTGACAATTACCCTTTCTAAGCTAATCATGGCTAGCCCCTTCTACCTTATTTGTAAAGTGAGGATTACACTTGTTACCTCAGAGAGTGGTAGGGATTAATGGGATAGTGTGCTATATAATCAACTTAATTCCAGGTCAGAGCAAGCTCTCAACAAATATTAAATTCAATCTCTTTATCCTGAAATAAAAATCCACGTAACATCTTCTAAATCTAAGTGGAAAATAGAGGCCACAGAATACTGTGACTACCTTAAAAGGCAACAAATTTGCTTTGGGAAGTTTCCACAGTAAAGGTACATTTTCAATACTCACTTGGCCATTGAACTTCATAAGTATAACCCAAATTATCTGGAGCAGTAACAAACATTTCTATGTTGGTAACTGGGGGCCAGAATGGCACCATGTTGTATTGTCTGTTGTGCCCAATTGGGGCATTTTCCAGTGGAAACATGGATACATCTACAATATGCCAAAGACATCTTGTTAATAGACATAATAAAGTTAGTATTAATAGATTATTATGTTCTGAAGGTGACCTGAAATATTCTAGGATAACATAAAAACTTCTTTTATATTTTACACTGCATAAAGACATAAAAATAGTTTTGCTACAGCAGAACAGGGAATTGCATAAAACAGAGTTCAAATGCTTTGAATACAGCACTAGCATATCATTCAATAGATCAAAAAAGTTTAAAAGCAGGGAAGTTTTAGTATTTTATCATCTATGATGATCACTAATTGTTTGATTTTTAAATTACAAAACTTATTTGAAAAAATTCATTGAACTTATTTTTCCAAAGATGGACCTGTAGTTTGCTGTAGCTTCATCTTAAATTTAAATTTGAGAGGTACTGTATCTAATGGAAGTTTGTCCTTGAATGTGAATATATCTGTTTAGTATTCTTCACTTTTTCTGTTTATCTTCAGAGATATAAATATTAACTTATGTCCAGATTTTACTCTGTTAGAAAAAACACAATTTTAAATCAAGGTCCTGGAATATTATTTACTTCCTGCCACCTCTCCTCTTTCTACTTAAATGCAAGTTACAGGTGTTTATATTATTAGTGAGTTTATGTCATCAGGGATAAAAGGACTGATATGCTCTTTGTGGCAAAAGCTTATTCTTTTATGCTATTGTTGTTCTGCATTTATGTTGATACAACTAAACCAGATGGGATATCTCAAAACCAGAGTTGGAAGCGGGCTTGGGCAGGACATGAGTGGGAATATATTTAGAAGAGCTGGAATATGTGAGAAGGCTAATGGAGTATTAGATTTTTCTGTTTGCAAGAAATATATTATCTGAACAGTCACTGTGATCCTGGGAAGCACAGAAGAGTGTTTTAGCATCTACTCTGAAAAAAAAGTCGATCATAAAAATGGTATGTAGTGTTTATATTTTTGTGACTTTAAATTTACTATGTATTAATGCTAATTAAATATTTATCTGTTCAAATCCGTTGAGCTTTTACCAATGCCAGATACTGGTCTAGCAATGGAGGTGATGGCACTGAACAAAACAGAGAAAATGCCTGGTCTCAAGGAACTCACATTTTGGCGTATTATTGTTAATTATTTATTAAAGTTAGATATTAAAGTTAATAATTCAGATAAAATTTTAACTTTCCATTTCACCTTTCTACTAGAACCTGACTTGATCAGCCTCAACTCAGTTCAGCATCAGCTGTGTGATAAAGTCATACCCATTAAAATGAGTGGAGGAATAATCATAAAAATAACAAACAATAACAGTAGAATTGTCATGAAACTTTCCTATGCAAGACCCTTCAGTGGCTCTCCATCTCAGAGGTTCATCCAACATCCCTCAGGATCTCCCCCTGTTGTCCTTCTGACCTTATTTCCCATCATTTTCTTTCCACTCTGCTCCAGTCTCAGTGGGCTCCTTTGTTCATCTAGGGATGATCTTCCTCCATGCATTTACCTCATACTCCCTAACCCCATTCCTGATTTTCTTTGTCTACAAAAACCTTCCCTGATCTAACATACTATATATTTATTTACATATTTTTACTGTCATTTCTACTAACAACTAAGAGAGTCCCAGGAGGGAAAATATTTTTGTGTGTTTTTTATGCTACTGTATTTCTGGTACCTAGAAGACTACGTAAGGAACAGTAGGTGTTCATACTATATTTTCCAGCTTTACTGAGGTCCACCTGATAAAAAATTGTCTATATTTAAGGTGTGTGACATGATGATTTACAAACGGTCAGCAGGTATGTGAAAAAGTACTGAATATCACTAATCATTAGAAAATGCAGATTAGAACCATAATGAGAGATCACACGTCTTAGGATGGTGATTATCGAAAAGAAAAGAGATAACAAGTGTTGGCAAGAGTGTGGAGAAATGGGAGCTGTTGTGCACTATTGGTGGGACTTGGTGCAGCTACTATGGAAACAGAAATGGAAGTTCCTCGAAAAATTAAAAATAGAACTACCATATGATCCAGCAATGCCACTTCTGGGGGTATATGTAAAAGACATGAAATTAGTATCTCAAAGAGATGTCTGCACCTGTGTTCATTGCAGCATTATTCACAATAGCCAGGATATGGAATCAGATAATATTTGTGAAAGGATTTGAGTGTATGTGTAATTACTTCATTTCTCTCAGGGCAAAATAGTAGTGATTGGTCCTAGGAAATGTATAAACTGCTTCTTCTGAAAAAACTGAACTTCTGGAGTACTATATTTAAAACTTAATTCACATAATTCTCACTTAAAAAAAAGAGACTTGAATTAAATGTGCACATGGATACAAAATGTTAGTGAATAAAATTTAACATTATATTAAATAAAGTTTGAATGTTCTATACTGTTCTACCTCAGGTCTAATGAGAGGATTCTGTAACAGACATTACCCTGCAAATGACTATAATTTCCTTCAGCTGTAAAATGTAACTCTTATTCCATTCTGACCCTAATAATTTTATAACCCTATAATTTTTGAAGAGTTCTCATTATCTATAAAAACCTTGAAGAATAATTCCATCCTCCACTCATAGACTCATTTTCAACAGAGACTTCTGCAATAAGGATAATTTTAGAAATCTTCCCAATCATTTTATTTTTTTCTCTAACATAGTTGTTCTATGACATTGTTTTTCAAGGGACATTTGCAGATACATGGAATATTTAAGCAGGTGGTTAATTGTTAGTGTTTAGTGTTCATGCAATTTGTAAGTGTTTACATTGGCTTGTCCTATAATTTTATGGCCATATTTTGTCAGAATATGCTCCAGGTACCCTATTTTTCATTTATGGTGCTTTTCCCTCCACTACTCTCCAGGTAACTGAGAAATCTTATGCTATTTATAGCACAAACAAAAGGAGCAGGAAGAAAATAAGAAGAAAGGTGTTTATCTGGTTCATCAGTGACTTTTAATGGATTGTTATGAATGTGAAATAATGATCTTTTCAATCAAGATATGTAAGGCAAAGGAATACTTGTTTTCATGGTTGAAAGAAAGCTCCCCTTAAGAGACTTGCCAGAGTAAGCAAGATTCTCCACTTCCTCTTACTTCTTAAGTAAGTGCTAAGTAAGAAAAACTTACTAACAGCCCTGGCATTGTGAATGGCCGCATAACTACAATTTGTACATTGTTGTCTCGTTCCCAGAAGTGTATGTTTAATGGAAGTTTTTGTTCATTCCTAAACCTATGAACTCCAGTTTACTTGTTATTGTCATAAAAGTAATATAGCTAAACATATGTAAAATGATAATTATGATTGTGGAAAGAGAGGGATTTTGTGTTCTATTAAATATATGAATGCTTAGGAAATATTTGTTGAAGATGAATACCTGAGATATTGGGTAAGAATTAGGAGTGAGCACTATGGTTGTAAAGATAAGGTAGGCATTATGAAAATCTAGAACAATACTGCACTCATCGCATCTCAAGGGTTGTTAATTTCTTGTCTCGCTTAAAAAATAGACATTGTAAATTGTAGATAATTCATTATGGTTGTAGGTATGTAGTAAATATGAATGAAATAAGGTGGCACTCCAATCAGTGAATTCATAGCAGGTGATGAATGAATATTTACATGTAAGTTCTTTGTCTCTTCAGTGATTTTCTGATGAAACATATGATTTTGATCAACACATTAGTTAATTCTCATAATCAGGTTGGATTAGAGGTTTCTACTGTACACACACACACATAACACACACACACACATACACACACAAAGAAATAAGAGACTGGTCGAATTGGATAGATAAATCAATAGATAGTTAATCCCCAACATTATGTTTATGTGTGTGATGAAGTAAAGGCACAGAAGGCAAAATTTAGAACAGTTTTGAAATATGAAAATGTATAATGTTTTAACCAATAGAAGCACTGTCATTATTTGAAAAGTAATGTGAGCCTCTCGGCTGAATAGAAGTGAAGCGAAAATGGCCTTTTAAATAATATTTTTTTAAAAGGCATTAAAATGAAGTTGAAAGAGATTTTCTATGCTGTGATAAAAACCAACATTAACTTTTCAAGTTGGACAAAATTTCCATTTATAGGAGGCCAGAAGTAATAAAAGTCAAAACTGTGGATTGTGAGTATAATTTTTTGTCTTTTAGGTATTGAAGAAGAGCTCAGTATGATTTTTTTATTCACAATGAGAATGTTCCAAAAAAAAAAAAAAGACAATGCCAATGTTCACTGGAAGATATGGGGAAGAAAAAATGGGGCAGCATGGTAGTCATGTTTTCATACTAAAAATGAGAAGAGATTCCGTGCTTAGTCCGAGTGAATGCTAGTAAATATCCTCTTCTAAACATTGTAAGGGATGTTTTGTCTGCATTTGCAAAGTAGTTTGGGATATTTGGAAATGGCTAGATATCATAGCTATTTTATCCTTATTTTGAAGTGCAGTTTAGATGTGTCAAGTGCTTAGTCTATAGTGATAACTATAGCACCTAAGCAGTCTTCTTGCTGAGCCTGCAAAAAATCATATGAAAACATCTTACCAGCATGATATCTTCTCAGCCATTCATCAAAGACCGCATCAGTGAAAGTATGTAGGAGGACAAAAATAGGGTCATTTGGAGATAAATGGGTTTGTCCCCCTGTTCCATTCAGAAATAGATGAGCCAGATTGTGAAGGCTTCGAATAGCAGGGTCATACTTTCCTGTGGGATCGCTGTAACCTAGATATAAAAATAGGGATGAGAATAGTAAAAACCGTCATAAACATCTTACTTTTCAAATCAGCAGCAGTGATTATATTGGGAAACAATTTTTCCTAAGCTTGTCAGGCCAATTTTTGCCTTAACATAGTAGCATTGCTTCTCTGTACCTATGGTTGGTGACATTTCCTGCTATGCCCGAAGCTAGGTTAGCTTTAAGCTAGTGGCCTGACATGCTAAATGTAGCCTCTAGGTTAAAAATAATGACCTGCAAAGGATACCAGTCAAAATATATAGAACACACTCTTTTGACAAGGCAAACATTGGTCTAGTGGAAATAAAGACGATGGAAGTCTCTAGCTCCTTCTAAAAACTGCTGACACAATTGGGAGAACATCCCTCTGATTGTCCTAGAACTTACATTGTCAGATGTTACTTTAGTTTCCTACCTTATTCCTTTTGACTGTCAGCAGATTTATTTTTGAAAATTATCTTATTTTTGTGGATAAGTCACAATTTCTCAGAGCATTCTGACCATGTCTGTACTAGTTTTAAACATCTGGAGAGCCTATTGGTTGAAACATTTATCTAACTTCTGGTAATTATAGGTATTCTCTCTATATAATACATTTCCCATATTCTATATGATATATATATGCTATTCCCATATAATATGTACATATTCCGTATTACATGTATTATATATATATTTTCATGTTATATATCCCATATTATATATTATATGTATTTTCCATACATATTTTCATATATATTATACATATTATATATATCATGCATATATATATTGGGCAGAAGGTGAGGATAGATCACAAATAAAAATGGAGGTTCTATGATGTGGGATGAAGTTATAAGTGTGTGTGTTTGGCTTTAAGAAACGGGTGGGAAAGCAGGGAAAGGTTACATATTATAAAATAAAATTAGAATTTAAAATACATTAACCCATTTGTATAATTACACTCACTCATTTATTTAGCCATGTTTCATACATTTATTCCATTATTTTATTTACAAAATGTTTAAAGATTGCCTATAACATACAGGGTATGTCGGTAGGCTCTGGTCCTTTCATACGTTCTGTCAGGAAATCAGAATAATTTGTCTTTTCATTGGGCTTCAATAAGATGCAATCTACACATTCTTTTAGAAATTAGCGCTTATGGCCTTAGTTTATATACACCAGTTTAGTCAAAATAGAGCGATTATTTATTGAATAATCTCCGAATCAGTGCATTCATATTTAATTATTAAAACTAACATAAAGGTAGAAGAGAATGGCATGCAGTTTTGATGATAAAAGGGGAGAGAATTGAAAATAATGATGAGATATCTATATCAAGTATCTCAGATCATGGGCACAGAGAGATCCATTCCCATTCTTCCTTAGGGGGAAGAGTCTAACATGTTTAATGCTATATATAATGTGAATTTTGACAGTAAGAGGTTTATAATACGTTATATGTGATTCTGTTGTTTTAAAACTTTAAATATGTTTCAATAATGATTTAGAGATATCAAAATTTATTAAAGACATTGGACTTAGAAAATTTGGATTTGAAATTGTGCTCTGTTACTGAGTATCATGGGATATTCATTTTAGCTCTTTGGTCTTTAGTTTCCTCAGCTTTAAAGTGCTTTGACTTAAATAAGGAGAATCAAATTAAATATCATTATATGGTAGTTGAATTTTTATAGACCTTTAAAAAAAGTTACAGGATGATACAAACTTAAATGAAATATATGCGCCAACCAGGCTTTATTGGCTGTCAGCTAACTGTTTAGAATTTTTTATTGTTATTTTTTAAGAAAAAATTTTAATAAGCTCTCAAAGTCTTCAATATTATTTGACTCTATTAGAATTTGATATAGTTATACACCTATTGATCAGCCACCTAACAGATTTGAGTTTAAATACTTTTTAGGTACTTAAGAGATTGAAGAATAATTTCCAAAGTCTTCTCCTATGATAATTAAAAAGAGTTTCATGGTCTGACACTTTAACAAGTTCTTTCTTGAGCAGAGAATTGTGACTGCATAGTAATTGGAGGCAACATTCATGTAAATTCACAGGATCAATGTGTCTTTCAAAGATTTTTTCAAAGAGATCTGAATGTGAACAGTTCAGTGTATTGTGATAACCAGATGAATTCAAAGCACTGATTTCTTTTACTTACCTTCCACAGTGTTTCGGAAACTGTTTGTAGAATTGGAATAAAAAGGAGGGGTGTCGAATGAACCAACTTCCAAGCACTGAGCGACATCCTGTGGTTCTGGAAGACGTTGCACCATTGGTCTAGCCACATTTCCAGCTGGATTTCTCCTAATTGGCCCACCCTCGGTACCTGGAAAAAGGATGGGCTATGTAAACATTTATAGAATATTTAGAGATCCTATCTTTGCTCTTTAATTTTTATACATAGCAAGAACGTGGAAGGATAGGTTCTCCTTGGTAGAAGAGAAAGTTTTAAAAAATACATACTTAGGGGCATTACAGTGAGAAAATTTAAGTTATCATGCAAGCAGAGTTAGATTTGTGATACATAAAATCACCGGAAGGAAAAAAAGGTCACAAAACAGAGGTTCTGGTATTTGTTTAATCAATGTATACTTCTGTAATTAGAATATATTAACATCAAAATTCCTTGGAAAATTGAATTTTACCAAAATAATCTCATAAACTAAATTCCACACTGAAATCTATATTTCACATATATGTGAAATTTTGTACTCAAATGCTATTTGTTTCAAGCCTTCAGAGAAATAAAGAAAAACAATCTAAAATTTCTTTGGGAGGTGGTCTATATTTCAATTGATTCATATTTTACAGCAATTGATGTGAGCAAATAATTAAACTTTTTAAAAGGCAGTAGGAAAAACAGGCAAACAAAGAGCTGTGAGACTAGGGGTAATAAGATAAGTGCCTTAAGGGAGGGAGGGAAGGAGAGAAAGAAAGGGGAAGAGGCAGACAGGAAGGTAGAGAAGGGGGACAGAGAGAGAGAGAGAGACAAAGAGACAAAGAGAGACTGAGAGAGAATATCAATCCTTTCCGCTTAGATGACCCCAGAAGGGCGCCATTAAAGAAGAGAGATTTGCAAAGAGCCCTGAAGGACTGAGGAGAATTTTCAGGTGAAATAGAAGAAATGTTACAAGTCAAACATTTTAGGCAGAGGTAATAACGAGAGATGCTAAGCTTTCTCCTATCTGTAAGATAAGCTCTGTCAGAGCAAGAACTCTATCTGTACTTGCTCACCAATACATCCCTTAATCTTGGCACAGTGCCTGGCATAGAATAGATGCTAAATCATCGTTTGTTGTATGCTGATGCATGGAAAGATCGTGTTGGCTGTAAAAGAGGTCCGTGTGGGAAATGGCTTGCCTGGAGTAGAGGGGGATGTAAGAGAGTAGTGGATGGTGAGAACAATGAAAAGCTAAAGAGCAATAGGAGAAAGTTATATTTAATTCAATAGGAAGTGAAGAGAAGTCTTAGGTAGGTGGGAGGAGAGGAGATCGGTTAGGAGCATTTTGCATTTGTCTCTTCCAGTGGTCTCCAGAGAAGCGTGTGTGTCCTAAGAGTATATGCAGAATAATCCACTGGGGTGAGAAAGGTGATATTACAACCTCCACTTGTATTCATTTTATCTCACTCATAAAGCTTACTCTGTTGTAATGTTTATTATAATTAACATAACAATTAGTACCTGATGAATTAGCATAGCAAATTTATTTATATAATATAAAAATAAAACATACGCCAAGATTGAGATTTGGAAAGTAAATGTACATTTTTTAGGCATACATTGTTATGAGAATTTTCAGATACCACTGGGTAAACTATCAATTCAAGTTTATGTTTTAGGGATTATTGTTCGGGAGGTGTCAATAAATTCCAAGAAAAAATTATAAATTACATGGGTTTCAAAAACACTACATTTCTAATTTGCTCTCACGGAGTTTCATAGTGGAGAATTCCAATAGTAAAGAAACTAGTTTAAACCAGTTTAATTTAACCCAGGGCTATTTAGATTTGTTTGCACATGGACAACCTCTGCCAATGCGCCTAAAAACATCGTATGGATTGGAGTCTTGTGGAGTTTTCACGCAGGAAGGAATAAAAAGTTCTGAGTGTCTGAAGGAGAAAGTAGATTTAGGAAATACTGTGTAGAAACAACATTTTTCTTGTGATGAATCAGTGATGCTATCTTACTGATTAGAAGACGCTTAGGTGTCACTAATTCACTCTTTCAAAGTTACCAAGTTTGGTGCATTAATGGGACATTGGAGAGACATCGTGCAACAAGCCCATGATAATACAGGCATGGGATATGCAAGGAAGATTTGCCCTAAAAATGTTCATGCATGGCTGTCCTGTAAAAGATGATCAATGGAACCATAGGAATGGATTATTTCATCCAAAGACAGTAGAGAAAGGAAAGAATCTCTAGGAGAATTATTTTTTTAAAGATTTTATTAATTTATTAGGGAGAGAAAGAGAATGTGCAAGCACAAACAGGGGAGCGGGGCAGAAGGCAGAGGGAGAAGCAGGCTCCCCGCTGAGCAGGAAGCCAGACACAGGGTTAGATCCTAGGACCCTGGAACCATGACCTGAGCAGAAGACAGAGGCTTAACCAACAGAGACACCCAGGTGCCCCTTTCTAGGAGAATTATATAAGCTATCATATTAAAGCATTTGACACCGTATCAGATACATAGTATGTGTTGAATCAACTATTAGTTTCCTTTTATCTTTCACTGGCCTAATAAATAAAATGCTTGGTATTTATATCTTGAACTAAGACAAGGAGTAATCTTCAAATTTGTTTCATTTAAAATATATAATCTTAATTTTTCATGAAACTTTGTGTCCTGTTATGAGACTTAGACTAACTGATGGAAAAGACTGTGATGAAACAGTATCTTCTTTCCAATTATCCACCTAAGCTGTGCTATACTTTGGTATCCAATCATCTGTATGAGCAGAAAATGTCTGGAAAAAAATCCCAGGCCAAAATATAATAGCCTGCTGAGAGATTAATGTTTTGGTATCTAAAGATATATTGATTCTCAATTTTATTTCAAGGGGGGGGGATCACTCATTCAGCATGCCAAACAAATAAGAAATTTATTCTAAGTTTTAAACTTCTAAAGAAAAAAATTAATACACTGTCACTTCTCTTTTCCGTTATTCTTATACACAGGTAAACAATCTTCTAATGGTGAAAAAAATCTACTGATATTTTTGTTCTATTTAGAATATTCTTTTTTAAAGAATATCCTTTTTTAAATTTATAAAGGAATTTATTTTAAACTTAAGAGAATATATGTAAAATGTACTATGAAGATGTTAATAAAACAAATTTCCAAAAATCTAGTTTTTACATGGAAGAACAAGTTTAAAATAACTGAGCATGCCTGAAAAAGAAAAATAAGACGAGGTAGGGAGACTCTAATAATTAAGACCTTGTGTTAGTACCACAGAGACTAATAATGTGATCCAAGTAAGAGAATGGTACACTCAGGAACAGATCCACATATAACAGAAACTTGGCCCAAGGCAGAAGTGGCATTTAAATCACTGGAGAAAGGATGCTAGCTAGGACAGCATTCTCTTTACATGTTCACTTTGAAAGAGATGGAAAGTAGTTGTAGTTAGCAGGCAGACATTTTCTGTACAGTATCTTCCTTTTCTTTTCTTTTTTTTTAAGTTTTATTTATTTATTTCATTTATTTGAGAGAGAGAGAGCACCCAGGGGGAGGGGCAGAGAGAGAGAGAGAGAGAGAGAGAGAGAGAATCTCAAACAAACTCCCCTCTGAGCCACAGCCTGATGCCAGGCTTGATCCCAAGACCCTGAGACCATGACCTGAGGCAAAACCAAGAGTCTGACACTTAACCAACTGAGCAACCAAGGCGCCCCAGAATCTTCCTTTTCTTAAAGATATCCTTCACATCACCTTTTGGTTTTGACCCTCTGACTAGAATTGTACTCTTTGGGCACTTCAACTCTTTCTGCACATTTCACTTTTCCCAGGGAAATGATTTTCTATGAGATTCTAGCACAAGACACATGACTACTAAGCAGTGCTGAGTGTGCTAAGAGGATGAATTTTATATAACCATACATTTCCAAAATAAAAGAGTGAATGTTTACAGAATAAGAGAGTGAGCAATGCACTAACCAAATTGCTTAAGGGAAGCAATATAAAAATGTATAGACACTTTCTGTCTGCCCTCGAACCTTAGAGATTGCCTTGAATAGCCCCAGTGTTCAAGGAATATATCTGTACATTGATTCTCTAAAGTAAAAGTAGATTTTCTTCTAAAGTCCTTAGTAGAATGAAGGGCCTTCAGGCAACACATTTAACCTCTTTATCTAGTAGGGAATTCTGAATCCTGGATGTCATTTGGAACTTACTATTACAAAGGGTTCCCAGGGTATCATAATCCTCCAAGGATTCACAGACCACTCGCCATTGAGAAAAGACAGAATTCAGGCTGATAAGAGTGGGATCAAAGTTGCTTCTGGATCCCATCAGGTCATCGGTGCAAATGTCACAGATGTTCCTCCCAGTCGCAAAATTCCAGTAGGGAAGGGAGAACGAAGGATCCTGCAACATTTCCTAGATCACAGAAACTCTTATTAGCGTTCTCTGCTTTTGTTTAAAATTCTCCCTCTTCGCTTGGTTTTCTCCCCAGCAGTCTGTTTCTATCAGCTCTCTTGGGGCAATTAGAACCAGTGAGTATATCCGTGGTGTCTGAGGAGCCAGAGGAATTAAATACCTTATTTAGCAAAGCTTCTCATATACTACAAGGAGTCATTGAGGCATTAGAGAGAATGAAACTCAACTCATTATAGAGAAGTTTCTGCATAAGATTTTTTTTTTTTTTAGGGGGTGGGGAAGTCTTCCCTTTCATTTTTAGGCAGGTAATTACATTTCTATTGGTTATACCAAAAAATGTCAATAATAACTTTCACTCCTTGACACTTTACCTCCTTCTGTTTTCATATCTTTAATTCAAGCATCACCAAGTCTGGGTCTGTAGCCAGATCCAGGCTTTAAATATGTTACATAGAGCAGTACTTTTTGTTTTGTGTCTGTCTTTTAAAATTTAACTTAAATGACTTTAGGCAGTTGGAGTCTGGTCTTTAAAATGTTTTGGGGGTTAGCGAGGGTGGTGGAAGAAGCCTACGGATTAGAGTGAGGCAGACCTCAGGGGTACATTCCAGGTTTTCCAAGCACCAGATATATGGATTTGACTTTTCACGGGTTACACAGGCTCTTTCACACTTACCTTATCTGCCTGGGCACTGAAGGTGTTTTACTTAAAGACCCCTGCTTCAGAATCTAATCTGTGAAGCCTTGGGTTTCTGCTTAAAACAAATACCGTCAGGAAATATTAAACGGCAGCAAAATATTTCTTTGTGCATACTGTTCTTTAGCCCAGGAACCAAAGTTTCCCTTCAGAGCCGACCTCAACAATTTTAAAAGTACTGGACTCAAGATCACATGCTTATTTTATCGAGTTCCCTAAAACATGCATTTATTGTACTTGTTCTCTTTCCCTTAGGCCTTTGGGGAGTTATGTTTAGAGTGTAGAGCGTGCCATTGTTTTATCTCACCTCCAAAGCATTTAGTACATTTCTGCTTTTTTACTCTAAGCCCTTTCTAGGAAGCATCTCCTTGTCCTCGGGGTATTTTAGAGGACCAAAAGCTTTCCAAGGTATCCTTGGTTATTGATCTCCAAGGCTGTAGAGTCCTTGTTTAGAAGCCATTGTTCTGGTTCACAAAAATTAGTGACAGCTTCCAGGGGATCATTAAGAGTCAGTTTGTGGTTCAGAACTGACGTTTGGGAGCTGGAGCATATTCATGTGGCATTTCAACTGTGCATTACATTTAGATTGTAATTTGTTGGATTCCTCGTGCTGTCGGGTTTTAAAAATGTAAGTCACAGAGGTCGAAGTTTACACAGGAAAAATCGAAGCTTTCAGATACTTTCCACCTGCCCTTTCGTTTTGGTGTGCCCATGGGAAAATGACTTGAAGGCACAGAGATCTGGAGTTGATTACAAATGACAGATTTATCTACTCATGATCTACTAAATGTCTTACTTGTAATCAGAGCTATAAAATATGAAGTTCAGAGTAGCAGATGAATTAATTTAATCACTCTCAAACTGCATATGTTTGGACTGCTTTCATACCAATATTTTATTCTGTATTTTAGGGCATTAATTCTCTCTCTTCTAACCATTTATTTTCTTGTGATAATGCTGAACACAGGCATACTGCAAATCAATAGATGAATCTAAGCACCTTTTCTGCCCTCAGATATTTTTCAGATTAATTTTTAGATTTCAATTTGAGGGAAGGAATCCATTTCACTTAGAAAACAGGTTCACTTTATGGATTTCCTAGTTGAGATCTAATAATTTAAAATTTCATTTGAAAATTCCAATACTTTTCTCAAGAAAAAGCAATTAGCAAAAGAAACTATAATAATAAAGTATCTGTGTTAGCGGGATGCTTTAATGTGGTTTGAGCCTCTCTGCTTAAAAATAAGCAGGAGATACTTATGTTTGGGTTGAGGTTCACTTTATGCCAAAAAAGTTGATGCTTTTTAAGTAAAAATGCTATCTGACTGATGAGATATTTTATTAGGTTTCTTCCACAAGCCTTGAAGTGGCAGGGGGCATGGGAACAAAATGGCATTCAATGAAAATATGAGAGTATAAATGGAAAAGGTTTTTTTTCATAATTTAAACCCTGTACCATATTAGAATCATCAGGTGGTCTAATGGGGGATGTATTTGGGACTTGGTAGCCTGAGAAGTGTATGTACACTTGTTTCATCCAAACCAGGAGGAGGGGGAATTGGTTTACATTCAAGAAGGAAGACACAGCAAGTGATATTCTTTTGTTGCAAGCTATATGAAGATCATTTTTTTCAATTACAGAATATGTAGAATATGCCTAACACTTTAAATCACCCCTACAAATGTCCCAACTGGCTCCCTCATTGTTGATGTTATTTTCTTTTCCCTTCACAAAAGATAAAGATTAATTAATGAGTAAGTAATCTGTACAGGCAGAAACTTCACAGAATGTCAAAGGCAGATTAATCACATGTTTAGATCATTGAGAACCAGTGAATTAAGATGACTTACAAACTGGACCTGAAAACTGAAATGTTTCATGGATACCTGCATGTCTCTCTCCAACTGCAGGAGGTGGTACCTGTGCCACGTGAGAAAAGCTGGTCCTTCATGAGAGAAATCCACTTCACCAAAGCTTTCCTGGCCTGGCCCAAGGAAAGTGTTTTTGACTGAGTAATAGTGTGTCCAAACAAAGTAGTTATAAATGGAAATGTTCTCAAATTGTGGCGTGTTGCCATCGGGCCCCAGTATTTCTTCTGATCTCCTGGTCGCAATGACAAACTGAGGGTGAATGGTGCGCTTTGCCATATCTAAGGCCTGGACGAAGTGGTTCTTCTCTTCTGCACTCAAGTCCAGAAGGTTTCTCCTGACTTCAAGAAGATTCAAACATGAAAACATCGGCCTCGTGAGCATAATCATAACACCATGTCCCATTTACCCACTAATGATAATTTGCATGCATGCTTAAATCATGTTATACTTTTTAAAATACCCCTTACTAAAATGCCTTCTTTAGGCCTGTTTTCTTACCACCCCCCCCCCAGGATTTCTGTTAGCTTTCTTTAATCTGACTGTGGACTTTATGATTTTGTGATCTTGTATTTATTTCTGCTCATCATGGGCATATTTTGGGAACTTTCTACCTTCTTAAAATCATAAACCTTGCAGAAACATGGCAGAGTGGTTAAGACCAGAGACTTATTCTATGACTCTGCACACATTTTTCTGTCTCAGCTTTTCATCTGTAAGGTGTGTGTAAAAACAATATCTGCTTTACATAGTTGTAAAGATTAAAAAGGACACACATAAAAATTATATCAGAGCCTGGCTCATAACAAAGACTCAATAAAAGTCTTGTTAGACCCTTGGTCCAATGTTTGGCACATAGAAAACAACCAAGTATTGCTGGATTTACTCTTTAGAGCTTTGTTATTTATTATTATTTAATAGGGCACAGGCGAGGCTTGTCATCTCAAATGGCTAAACTTGATCATAACAGTGGGCAGGTCTATTGTGGGTTAGCAAGGGCCGTGGAAGAAGCTCATGGTTCACTGACCTCAGGGGTGAATTCCAGGGTTTCCAGGTCCCAGCTATATGGATTAGACCTTTCTGAACCTCACTTACGACAATTAACATAACTACCTTGAGATGTTTCTGAAAGGTCTAGTCATAAACACCTAGCACAGTTCCTCGAATAGCGTGATCGCCCAGTAAGTGTTTCAGAAGAAAATCCCATCACTCAGATCTGAGCCTTGACTCTTTAAACTGTATAAACTTATTAGCCTCTCCAGGCCTCAGCTTCCTCAACTGAGTTATAGGATTTCCAGGCATTCTTCCAGTTCCAATGATTTAGTTTTCTCTTAAACACATTGAGCCTCAGGAAGAACGAACTGTGTCTCCACTCATATCCCCACTTACCTGTGAGAACCCTCTGGTCACAGGCAGCTCCTCTCCATCCAGGACGGCAAGTCCCACAGTTGTGTCCTGAGAAATTGCCATTGCAGAGGCATGTCCTGTTGAAGAACCGTGTGGGCCAAGCCTCCCGATCATCTCTGCCGTCGTGGGGGTAATGGGGGCTGTGGGGTCGGAAGTCTGCAGTCACTGCCTCACACCTGCCCCGCCCCGATGAGGAACCACAGCGGTCAGTCCCGGGCCTAGACAGGGGGGACAGGTCTGGACAACACACACCATTTCTTAAGGCCTCAACAGTGGCACACTCTCTTGGGAATTGAGCCCAGGTCTGATGAAAAAAAAGCAAGGGCAAGAAGATGCATCCTAGAGAGAGGAGTTTATGAGCTTTCATTCTGCTCTAAGCAAGAGTGAAGAACAAATCTCTGGTTTGCAGCCCTTTGTGCAGAGACTGAAGCACATAAAATAAAAACCAGGCTGAAAAGGAGAAAACACAATGAAATTACCTAAGTTTTCCTTCTGTGCTGTTATAAACAGGCATGAGCCCTTCCCAGCCCCCTTCAAAATGCTTTTCATATCTGTAAAATGACATTTCTAGCGAATCATAAAAATAGTAATTTACCTTTAAAAACTTGACATATTTAATACCTACGTAATTAAATCCCCTGTCCTAGCATTCAGCTTTCTTCATCTTAAATTTCTATTTATTAAAAAAAATACTCATCATAGGTGTCTCTTATCAAAAGCACTCATTAACAGGTCACAGCCATTAATTACATTTAACCATGAAGCTGGAAGAAGAATTGGAAGCAGATCTTCAGCAAGTTCATTTCCGCGACTTGAAGTCTCCCATCCTAATGGAGCTTTGGCGAGAGTCCACCCACTCCCCATAGAGCTTCTCTCCAGTACCTTACACTCCGGAGGGGATTCTCTGATGAACCCCTCTTAGAGCTGAGTGTTTTATATTTGCTTCTCCCCTGATGTCAGAGCTGTTAATTCCATGTGGGTTTCTGCTTGATAACTAATCCTGAATCTGCTCACCCGAACTGGGAGGGGCTGGTCCTCTTCCCGAACCCTTTACTAATCCCCTTTCACTCCAGTGAGTTTTTCTGCCCTTTAAGTACTTGGTTAGCACATGATTCCCTTCCCACTGATTTCCTTGTGATGCTTAAGGTTTTAAGAAAAGGTCAGAGGCACTAATTTGGAATACAAGTCAGAGAAACTAGAGAGCTTTTGTTTGCATTGTAGAGATTTAGATTTTTCCCCTTTGATTTATAACTTCAGAGGATGAAATGAGATTAGTTACATTTTCTTAGTGACACAAGGGCTAGACTCTACTTGTATCTGACGGTCGCTTTTGATTGGGCATGGTCTTGAAACAGATGCTACCATTCTTATAATTTCTATGGAGAATAATTGTAGTAGAAAAGTCACCAGATACAATTACATCAAATCACATGGCATTGCCTTCCATGGTGCCTGCTGGTGTTGACAACCGGGTACTCCAGCTCCCTTCCCTCCATTGGGGTAGGGTCCATCTCTGTGGCAGAACATCGAGGGTCACTACTACCTCTGCTGTTTAGGAGATGACCACTGTCTTCTTCTTTCCTGCTTTCTCTGCAAGCAGCCTTGAACCAATGGCACTAATTTTAAATTTTAAATATGTTGTGGGAATATTAATGGCTTCATACAAACATTAGTCAATATCTCAAGTTTTCATATGCACTCGGCATATTTAAGGACGAAAAATAAGGTATATAGAATGATATTTAGATAGTCTTTTGGTTATTTTGATTTTTTAGTCTGACTTTTTACTGGATCAAAGTAGATTATCATTTTTCTCTCTCAAATAAAGGTGGTAGTAATGTACCATTGGTGGTTTCTTATTTTTGACAAAGGAACCGAGGCCTTGTATGGTAACATTAGGAGAACGGAATGATGGATATATGGAAACTCTATTATCTGTGTAACTTTTTTAAAAAGATTTATTTATTTATTTATTTATTTATTTATTTATTTATTTGAGAGAGTGAGAAACAGCATGAGAGGGGAGAGGGTCAGAGGGAGATGCAGGCTCTCTATGGAGCAGGTATGGAGCAGGGAGCCCCATTGTGGGACTCGATCCCAGGACCCTGAGATCATGACCTGAGCTGAAGGCACTTGCTTAACTGACTGAGCCACCCAGGCGCCCCTCTGTGTAACTTTTCTGTATATCTAAAGTTAATACAAAAATACAATGTTTATTTTAAAAAGCTATTTTAAAAAACTAGGTAATCTATATCCACATATATATTCATGTGTGCAGATATAAGTATATCACAGTGTGTCACATTATGTTGAAAGAAAAAAATGAGGCTTTACCCTTTACACCTTCTGGTTATGTAATTCCTACAGTTACCTCAGGATACCCTCAGTGCAGTGTGATACATGATAGGCACAATGTGAGGGCATTGGTATCAAATCATGTAGTATTAATTAAATACAAGAATAAAATATAAAAATGACGTTCTGATCTTTTCTTTCTGGACCTCATTTGGAAATTGTGAGAATCCCACCCTGGAGATCACTACTAAGGGTGATCTCATCATGTCACATGGAATCCATCTATGGGCTGGTGAATCCCATATTAGGAGCTCTAATAACACTCCCTCCCCAGAGGTCCTGACTTAGATATCTAACTGCCTGCTCGCTAAATCCACTTTGGTGCCTAAGAGATTCATCAGACATTTATAAAATGTGTTCCTCTATCTTTCCCTTCTCAGTAAATGGAATCACTGTTCATCCCGTTGCTTTGGGAAAAAACCAACACACAGAAGTCATTGTTTTTTCTTCTTTGTTTTATGCAAACTGCATTCATTAGTGGAACTAACAGAGTCTAACTTGAAGCCGTCATTAGCTCTTTCCTGCCCTGTGGCCACTAATTTATCTCCTCACCTTCCATGCTTAACCACACAGGAGTCTATTCTCCACACAAGATTTTATTCTCCACTTAGCAGCCTGAGAGAACTTTTATTGCTGATACCCAATTACCACCGCTCTCAATAAAACCCTTCAATGGCTTCCAAACACACATAGAATAAAATGCAAATGCTTACAGAAGTCTACATGATCTGGCCCCTTCTATCTCTGACAACCTCTTAACATCTTCCCTGTTACTTCTTTATTCAATCGCAAGCTTATTACACCCTCTGCCATGGCCCTAGGTCTTTGTATGACTCGCTGTGTCACTTCATTCAGGTCTCTGTTCCAATGTTATTTCTTCAGAGAGGCCTTGCCTGACAACCCCACCTGCTAAATCCTAACCCCATCATTCATTATTTCCTTTTTAAGACAACCTTCATAGTACCAAACACTGCCTGTAATTTTTATTACCTCATAAATTTTCACTGTTTCTCTTTCATCAGAAGGCAAGTTTTTGTCTTTCCTTTTCAATATTGACCTGAGAGATCTTTAGAGAGCCGTTTTTTTTTTTTAAGTGAAGAAGGACTAAACATCTGATTTATTTACTCCCAGCCTAGTGATTAATCCATATTTCCACTAAAAGGAGTAGATACAATCTACCTCCAGTATTTTTATTACTTACTATTTTTTTAAGATTTTATTTATTTATTTGAGAGAGAGAGAGAGACAGAAAGTGAGAGAGAGAGCACAAGTGAGGAGGAGAGGGAGAAGCAGGTTTCCTGCTGAGCAGGGATCGGACAATGTGGGGCTCAATTCCAGGACCCTGGTATCATGACCTGGAGTCGAAGGCAGACGTTTAACAGACTGGACCACCCAGGCTGCCCTTTATCACTTACTACTAATGCACATCTATTACTTCTTAAATGTATTACATACACCGTTATATGTTATACGTTATGTACACTATATGTTATACATTAAATGTTACACATGCATATATCATTTTTAAAAAATATTATTAAAATATTACTTTTACTCCTGTTTTGCAGATGAAGACACAGAGACTTTTGGAGATTAAGAATTCTTTAAAAATCATGTAGTTTGTAGGTGGCGGTTTTAGGTTTTGAAGTCAACTTAGCTTTGTTCCAAAACTAAATGTTTGTGCTTTGCAAGTACTGCTCACATTCTAAAAAAAGAAGGCTGGAGAATGGAAAAAGTGCTGTACTTTGAAACATAAAATATACCAACTTTGCCTCAGTAAACAAGTACCTTCATTTCTCTGAGTCTCTGTCCTTCATCTGTAAGTTATATATAATAAAGATATATTGTTGGGGCAAATAAACTCAGATAAAAATAACCAGCAGAATGCAGATAATCAATCAATACTAGTTTAATAAGTAAATGAATCAAAGGTAGAAATCTTAAAGTAGATGAAAAATACTGAAATTAATACCTTATTCATAACTATCTTAGTAGACTGGAATGCATTTTACAGTGTCTTCATTATTAATACATATCCAATCAATGTTACGAGTAGTCCTGTGGAACAAGAATTTCAGGCACTGAAGAGAGAAAAATCTGAAATGTCAGTGTCTATTAATTGTGAAAACCTGGAAGTAGTGACAAGAAGTACGTTTTACTGCATATGCTGGCGTCATTTCTTAGCTTACTGGTGTTTTCTAATGTGGGAAGCTGGTGCAAAATGTGAAAAGAAAAAATGTACTTATGTTTTTCCTCTTTGACTGAACATTGTGGAGTGGTTAAAATGCCATCATCTGGCAAAATTATTCACAGCATAGTTCAGAAATGAATGTTAAAATATGTGTGCAATACCCCTTCACCCACTACAGAAATTATTGCTTAGACTTCTTTAATGGAAATTAAATTTTATACAGTAATTTTTTAAGAACTGGGCTGTTCAGAAATCCACATGTTACCAGCATAAGAAAACTTGTCAGGAATCACCCCTGGTGGGTGTGCCTTACACTCATGGCTGATGTGAAAATCATATCTCAGGAGAAAGGACTGATTCCGAGCTTCCTGTTTTTCCTTTCAAGTCTTATGTATGTCAATTATAAAAGAAGTTATCAGAAATCTAAATGATAAGGACCAGGAATTGAGGTTAAATTGAGGAGAAAAAAGTTTTAGGAGCATCTTAATTTTCTCATAACAATTGCTAATGAATATTAATATTTTTTGTGATCATTTGTGGCAAATGATTCTGAATATATTCATTGTCCAATTGGATTACATGTTATTAAATTGTGTGCTTACTTGTACCAAGCTTAGATTAATGGCTAGAATTCCAAAGGCATTAAGGCAACTCCAAGTCATCTGTTAGGCTGGTCATGTGCTTTTACCTCATGGAGAAGCTTAAATTCAGTGAAAGCAAAGCGGAAGAATGTTAGGCCTGTGTCTTTGTGTCACTAAGCAGAGTTTCAGTCAAACATAACATTTCTATTTTAGGGCAGAATATTTGAAATTGAGGTCTCA